CTCGTGCTGTTGCTGACCTGGGCATGCTTGTTCTGGAGGCCTGTATTTGCTGCCACATTCCCTCAGTGATCATTTAACTGACATTTGCAGGTTTTCTGCTGGTTGCACAAGTCTTGATCTTTGAGCCTGTAACCCTGGCCTTGAGGAGCACTCAGTCCTTGGAGAGGAAAACAAATAAGAAGTTTAGAGTGCTCTGTGATACATTGCAAGCAAAGCAGGCCAAAAAAAAAAAAAAAAAAAAAAAAAAAAAACAACTCTGATAATTTGAATTTTTCCCAGGACAGCTACTATGCTATGCTGAGTATTTTATAAAGATTTTGCTGTTTAGAGGTCACTATGACCCTGGGTGGTGGATATTATTTTTTTACTGATATAAATTAAAAAATTTGTTTTAGTAAGACCTTAATGATTGGCACTTTCAAATTAGAATAATCAAAATGAAGTTCAAGAAAGGATTTTTTTTTTTAAATGTGGGTGGTTTGGTGAACTACAGAGGAGACAGTAACTACCCTGCAGCTAGGAAGGGAAGGGTGATCACTACTCATAGGCCTGAGAGACAGAGAGAAGGGTAGGATGCCAGGAGTCAGAAGGAAGGAATCAGGCAGAAGTCACCTTAAAAGCAAAGGTACTTAATTGAAAGTCACAGAGTCCAGCAGATCCCACATGGAGGGAACCGGGGGAATAATTGACTTGCCTTTATCTTGCTCCCTACCTCCAGTCTCTTCCTGGGATGAAGAAGATCTCGAACTAGAGGGCAAAGGAGGCCATTGATTTTGTACTGCAATCCCTTGTTCTACCAGGGTGGAGAAGTGAGAGAATGGATGGGGTGGGGAGGAGGGCAAACATAAATCACATGGTACATTTTGATATTTGTAGAAGGCCATATAAGCAGTTGTAGAATGGAATAAGTAATCCCAGATGCAACTTTCCAAATGCACCTGTGTATATCATGTGCATCGGTTGGCAGCAGCTGCAGTTTTACACACTGACATTGGGTGCCATTGTATCTTCCTGCATCCACATTTCTGATTCTTCTTATTTATATCTAGCTCAGGTGAGCAGAATGGCCGCAACTTATCCATCTGTCTATCTGTGTTTACCAAGCGAATGGATTTGCGTTTCCAGAACCTGACTTTACTCTCCTGTTTTCTTCCCTGTCCTTGGGGAGTACAACATCCAGATGGCAAAAAGATGAACGGGTGGCCTATTTGACTCATGCTCTTTGTGATGTCAGTAATAAATAACCTTATAAGCATATTCAATCTTATACTCTTGTGAGGATTTTTCACTTTTATTATTCATTTCCGAGAATCACTTTGTAAACTAGGTCAGTCACATGCTTTATATTTATCAAAACTTAAATCTTTATTCAAATAGTTTGACATTCAGTGCAATTCAGCAACCATCTATAAAGCACCTAATATGTGCTGGGCTAATTTTAGATGTAAACATTTGGGCATATCAATGGACAACAAGAATGTGTTCTTGTTAAGTGAGGAAAAATGGAAAATAAACACAAATAAAGGTAAATTATAGAGAATGGTTAAATGAAATAAGTGTTTTATGACAAGAAAAAGCAGAGTTGGGTAAGGGAGAATGGAAACAGTAAGAAATTTTCAGTAAGTTGTCTAGGGGAGTCATTATGAGAAAGTGACATTTGAACATAAAACAGAAAGAGGTGAGTCTGTGGATATGGTAGAGAGGATAAAGAGGAGGTTAGGGAGGAGTGTGCCTGGATTATGCATTAAGTATCAGGGTTCCTGTGTGTCTGGAAGGGAAAGGGGGAGGGAGGGCAATCAGGGAAGAAAATAAAGAAAATTGGGTATAGAAATGCTTCAAAGCACTTTGGGACACTGGAGGAACTTTAGATTTTTATCTAAGTGAGATGGGAAGCCAATGGTGGGTTTTGACTGGAAAAGGTTCTGATGTAACTTGTATGTTAGGTAAGTCTTTTTATTGTTGAGAAAAAATTATGGCAGGAGAAGAGTAGAAACTGGAAGGCTTATATTAAGTAATAAATTTATATTGTCAAAAACTACTTGTACTGGGGCACACACTTACAATTTATATTATCAAAAACTACTTTTACAGCAGGGGCACATACCTATAATCCTAGCTAATTGGGATGGTGAAGTAGGAGGATCACAAGTTCAAAGCTAGTCTCAGCAACTTAGTGATACCCTGTCTCAAAAAAAAAAAAAAATGCTGGGTATGTAGCTCAGTTTAATTAACTAAACCCTTGGGTTTAATTCCTAGTACTAGAAAAAGAGAGACAAAAAGAATCCTCGTAAAAATGAAAGGAAGTAATCACAGAAGGATGCAAGTTGTCTTTTAAAAGACCAATCTAATCATGCTGTTCTCCCTGCTTGAGTATCATGCATGGAAGTATTTGTCTCTCAGTTCTTCACTTATTTATTCATACAGTTATTTTTTTAAAGTTTATTATATATCTACCAAGTGCCAGGAGACATTCTGGATGCTGGTGACAAAACACATTGGTTCTGCACTCAGTGAACTTACATTATAGCAAAGATGACAATCTAAGTTATTTAAGTTCCTTAACTATGCAACGTCACTCTGTTTTCTATTTTCATCATCAAGGTCTGGTCTTAATACACCACTTGACATTCTCAAATATGTCAGTCTACACTTTGAATGTGAATAAATTTGGTCATTTCTTATGTTCCAGAGGGTTTAAGAGAGTCTATGTTTCTTTGAGATTGCTTTGTTTCTGTGAGTTTATCTAGGACAAGCCAGCTTTGTAGTTAATAATATTTGTGGCCACCTTAAAGGTTCAGAATATTGTTCCCAGATGGCAAAAAACTGCCATCACTCTGTAGAGGACAGTATGGTTTCAAGTCTGAAGCTAGTAAAATGAGATGAGAACCCTCTGAATAATGGGGTTCTAATGGTTCTCTCTGTGGCCTGTTAGCCTGGGTGTTTCATCAGGATAGAAGAATTCAGCTGTGAATGGCTAAGTGGAGAATTTCCCAGAGATGAGCCAATTTGACTTTCCTCATTCAGTGGGCAGCCTGGATGTTGAGTAAGGCAGCAAACCAACTATTTGTCTACAAAGTGTAAAGACACTTGGAGTAGCTAGACAATGCTGTGAATTTTCATTTAATGGTAAATTTTCCAGGGACATTAAATTTCTTGTTTCATGGGTAAATAGCATCAGATAAGTTTAGCACAATCAAATATTATGCAACCTCTGATATATGATATTGGTACTCAAGATGGAAAAGATGGAGTGTTTTGAAAACAGATTCATAGAAATTATTTTACATGAATATGGTAGAGTGGATGCATTAATGCAGTTTCTCTTTCTAACTATATTCTAGGTAATTAATCTGTCCATCTAGCTTTTACCTAATTATTATATCAAGGTATAATGTAAAGGATATTTGAAGTTGAAAATGACAGATTTAGTACCACCTGTATCAAAGAGTAGTTCTGTGACTTTAATTAAGACATCTGATCTCAGTTCCTTCTACTTTGAAATGGAAATATTACTTACAATTATTTGAACTATCCTCTGGGAGGATCAAGTGAGATAATGAGTGGGAAAATATTTTATAAGCTATAATGCAATAAAAAATCCATTGGTTATTGTTATTGCTCTTCTACTTTTTCCTTTGTGTACTATATGATCATATGGTCAAATATTAAGCTGCTGTTATGATTATAGAGTAGGAAGAAAATTCACACACACACACACACATGCACACACACACACACACAACTCTTCCTATGGCTACTTCAGGGAAAAAAAATTGTTCCATGCAGGGCAACACACACACATGCAAACACACACACACATACAGGCACATGTGTATTCACACAGATTGAAGTCCAGTCTCCTTAAATCATCATGAATTGTAGATGATCGTCACCTTCTCACAGACTTGAGTAATAACTTTGAGAGGGAGTCTCTTAGATAAATCAGTTATATTGGGATAAAATAACTATGAATGTGGCTTCTACTTGCTAAAGTTACTCCTGATTTTCAGTTTCATTTAAATCAATGAATATTGTTTCAATGATTCAGGACAACCAAATAAAATAGGTTTACATTATACTTCTGCAAAATAATCTTGTGTGAGTGAAATAATCGATTTATAATTTGTATTCTGCACATGCTTCAAGTTGCCAATCATTCCAGTGGAACCTCTGGCCAGTAGGTTCTTAGTCAAATAAGGTTAACAGCATCTAACATTTACTTCACATCAACTCTATGCCGGGAATCGTGCTAACTCCATGCATGCATCTTCTATTAATCTTTCCATCAACACTTTAGGATAGATGTCAGTGTTCCTTGTTTTTTTGGGGGGATTGGGCTATTAATTTAAAGGACCCTGAACTTTAGGGTTCTCCACCTCCAGGACCTGGGCTTTTAATTGTAATATTTCCATGCCTCCCAATTTAAGAGAGGTCTTAAAAGAGACAAGAAAGGGGGAAGAGTATGAACCTCTACACTATTACCCTCTTATAAAGCACTATTTGTAATTACTTCCCCAAAGTCCCCATCCCCTTAATACCACTTAATACCTTATAACATTACAACAGGGATTAAGTTTTGACATAAAGTTTGGAGGGGACACATTAAAACCCATGTAGATGGTAAGACATATTTTTTATTAATTGATTTATTTGATGTATTTAGTATCACTTGGCTGGTTAGTAGGAGGAGAAATGTCTAGATTGTGGGGAAATAGATGTCCAGGCCAACATTTTGGTACATGATGGTACAGAAAAATAATTGGGTAAGTCTGTGGACCTGCTGGTGATGTCAGCTGAATTAGACCATCCAAATACTGAGCTACCTCTGGTCATTAGACTAGAATAGGGAATGGATTGATTAGATTAAATTAGTTCAAGAACAAACTCATTCTGTCCTCTGTACTTGAGGATCACTCTGTCGGAAATCATCACTTGTTTTTGTCTTCTTTCTTCTAGAGGTTTCTTTCATGCTCATAAATATCTCATTTTTTCTGTTGTAGATAAAATAACAATATCAACAGCATGTGAAAATAGATACTACCATTGGATGCTCATCATATGTCAAGCACAGTGGAGATGAATTTAATATATTGCCTAATGTAAATAGTAAGTCTAGCAAACATCATCAGTTCCCTACCCCCATCAGTCTCGATCCTCATGGGTTCCAGTTATTGCTGGTGTTTTTATTTACAAATTCTCACCTGACTCTCAAAGATCTAATATCTTAATTTTTTTAAAGCCAAGTTAATGCTGAATTCTTGCATGATTTTATTTGGTGTATTAGTAAATAATACCAACATGCAGAAAGGCCAAACTTAAAGGTAGTAAGAACCAGTTTCTAATCAATTTGTTTGTTAAAATTATTAATCTCTACCCACAATACAAAAATCCATTCCTAAAGTAATTCTTAAATAAATTTCTCACAAGTTTATTAGTAATGACTTTTAAAAACATTCTGCTCTATTAAATATAAAATATTGTTAGATACCTTATCTAAAATGTTTGAATCACCTCTGGAAAGGAAACAAGGGAAACTACCCCATTTACATTAGCCTCGAAAAAAAATAAAATAAAATACTTGGAAATCAACCTAACAAAAGAGGTGAAAGACCTCTACAACAAAAACTACAGAACACTAAAGAGAGAAATTAAAGAAGACCTTAGAAGATGGAAAAATCTCCCTTGTTCTTGGATAGGCAGAATTAATATTGTCAAAATGACCATACTACGTAAAGCACTATACAGATTTGATGCAATTCCAATCAAAATTCCAATGGCATTCCTCATAGAAATGGAAAAAGCAGTCATGAAATTCTTCTGGAAAAACAAGAGACCCAGAATACCTAAAGCAATCCTTAGCAAGAAGAGCAAAGCAGGTGGCATCACTATATCAGACCTTAAACTAAACTACAGAGCAATAGTAACAAAACAGGATGGTATTGTCACCAAAACAGACTGGTAGACCAATGATACAGAATAGAGGATACAGAGACTAACTCACATAATTACAATTATCTCATATTAGACAAAGGCACCAAAAACATACATTGGAGAAAAAATAGCCTCTTCAACAAATGGTGCTTGAAAATTGGAAACCCTATCTCTGACCATGCACAAAAGTCAACTCAAAGTGGATCAAGGACCTAGGAATTAAACCAGAGACCCAGGGCCTATTAGAAGAGAAAGTAGGCTCAAATCTCCATCATGTCGGATTAGGCCCCAACTTCCTTAATAAGAATTCTTTAGCACAAGAATTAAAATCAAGAATCAAATAAATGGGATGGATTCAAACTAAAAAGCTTTTTCTCAGTAAAAGAAACAATCAGTGAGGTGAATAGAGAGCCGACATCTTGGGAACAAATTTTTACCACTTGTACATCAGGTAGAGCACTAATCTCTAGAGTATATAAAGAGTTCAAAAAGCTAAACACAAAAAAAAAAAAAAAAACTAAATAGCCCAATCAATAAATGGTCCAAGGACCTGAACAGACACCTCTCAGAAGATAATGTACAATCAAGCAACAAATATATTAAAAACATGTTCAACATCTCTAGAAATTAGAGAAATGCAAATCAAAACTACTCTAAGATTTTATCTCAACTCCAGTCAGAATGGCAGGTATTAAGAACATAGACAACAATAATTGTTGGTGAGGATGCAGGGGGAAAGGCACATTTATACATAAATGCTGGTCGGACTGCAAATTGGTGCGACCAATATGGAAAGCAGCAGGAGGTTCCTTGAAAAGCTGGGAATGGAACCACTATTTGACCCAGCTATCCCACTCTCATTCTATAACCAAAGGACTTAAAAACAGCATGCTACAGGGACTCAGCCACATCAATATTTATAGCAGCACAATTCACAATAGCTAAACTGTGGAACCAACCTATATGCCCTTCAGTAGATGAATGGATGAAAAAAATGTGTATATACACACAATGGAATATTACTCAGCAATAAAAGAGAATAAAATCATGGCATTTGCAGGTAAATGGATGGAGTTGGAGAATATAATGCTAAGTGAAGTTAGCCAATCCCCCAAAACCAAAGGCTGCATGTTTTCTCTGATATAAGGAGGCTGTTTCATAATGGGGTTGGGAGGGAGAGCATGGGATGATTAGAGGAACTCTAGATAGGGCAAAGATGTGGGAGGGGAAGGGAGGGGACATGAGGGTAAAAAATGATGGTGGAATGACATAGGTATCATTACCCTAAGTACATGTATGAAGACACAAATGGTGTGACTGTACTTTGTGTTCAACCAGAGATATGAAAAATTGTGCTCTATATGTTTAATATGAATTGTAATGAATTCTGCCATCATATATAACAAATTAAAATAAAAAACAGGCAGAGGAGGATATAGAAATTGACAGACTGCAGTTAAATTTAAAATTTCTTGACCTCATATTCAATATGTTTGAAATTTTTGTTTTAAGATTTCTTAAGTTATGATTTTACCTGATACATAAAAACTGAAAAAAAAAAGTCTGATTTAGTCTTTTCCAGAATCAGTTTTAAGGGGCATGATTTCTCTCAGTGTATTTGCTCTGGTTAAAGAAAGCCTTGATCTACTTTCCCACTACATATAATATGCCTCCCTCACATTGGAAATGGTGATGTTCATTAGCGTGTGAAAAGCTCTGAGAAGTCCTTCAGAAACAGTCTGCTTTGGTTTATAGACCCCCCCTCCCCCGATCCAAAGTTTGCAATCTTGACTTTGGACTGTATCTCTCACATCCCAAAGAGAAATGCTCTCACTTTGTTACTTGTGTGTTGGAAGATAAGGTGAGCCTGAAATTTCTGGAGGAAGAAATATAAAATCCCAGGGAAACTCCCACTTGGTGGACAGTTCTTCTCTCTCCTTATAGGTTGGATTTCTAATTTCTTAACAACAGCAACAACAAAAAGTTTACAACATAGCTTGGATTTCTCATAGCAGCTATCTAACTTTGGAGATGGTAGCATTTGCTTTCCTTGGACTCCAGAGATAGGTGTGGAATGTCTTGCATTCTTTATCACCTTTCCTTTCATCCTTTTGTCCTTTCTTTTCTGGTTATTTCTGTCTTTTTTGTTTCTTTATTTTTTTTTCTCTTCCCCTCTGAATGTAGCTTCACTGTGAAACTTTAGTTTACTGCAAGGAGTAGCGTACTCTTCCTGAAGATGTAATTTGGAGGCCCTGATTTAAAATAGTCTCTGCAGATGTTTTCACTGAGTGAGCCCTTTAAAGCATCTCCTTGGGTGCACAAGGTCCTCTGCCTTTGTGTTTACCAAAGGGGCATAGTTAGCATCCAAATTAATGTGCAGCTATGATTACACTGGAACAAAGCAGGGGTTGTGTGATGACTCATTGGCTAAACTGTTTTTACATTCTTTTAACGGTTTATATGTGTGTGTTGGGTTTACAAGAGGAAGTACACAAATATCCATAAGCAGAAGCGCAGTCACGTGGAGAGACCTTTATGTAGCATTCTGGCACTATTACTACCCACTGCCAAAATGGGACTCTGTAATAATTCTGCAAATTCAGACTTCATCTGGGATAACTCTCTGTGTTATATTATTGTAAAGCCTTGCTAGTATCACCATGGTTTCCTTTACACAAAAGAAATTAAATACATCTCATAACTAAGTCTAATATTAGCTCACATCTGCAAAAGGGAAGAACAAGGAGAAAGGTTTCAAATTAATATTTTGAGTAATGCAGCTCACCAATGCTGGTCAGGGGTTGGTTGAAAACATAATTGGTGCCCATAAGAAGATGGTGTGAAATGGAGATTTTATAAGTGATACTGCATTTTATATCCTCTTTTTAAAAATGGGACAGCAGAGTTGGCCAAGAGTCTTAGAGTAAGATCAGATCCATAATAGTTATCAAATCATAGATCTTCACAAACAGAAACATAAATAGAATCTGAACTGACAAACATATGCATTGTTTATTCCAACTAAAAAATAACATTTTTTTGAGCAGCCTTTATCAATTCAAAATATTATACCAATAATATGTGAAAATACAGGTGAATTCTATATACCCCGTGTTTATATGTCTACTAAAACAAACCTGTGTGGTGAAACTGGGGAAGTAAGTAAATAAATGTGTCTCAGGTCATCTCTATACTTTAAATTTGATTTTCCTCCCCACCCTACAAATATTTTCACATCAAAAATTTAATATACAATAAGAATTCATCCTGGAGGCAGAATTTTTTTTTTCCAGTACTGGAAATCGAGCCCAGGGGCACTTAACCACTGAACTACATCCCAACTGCTATACCATCCCCTTTTTTTTCCTATTTTTTAAATTTTGAGGTAGGATCTCACTGCATTGCCATGACTGGCCTCAAACTGATCCTCAAACTGGCCTCAAACTGATCCTCCTGCCTTAACCTTTGAAGTATGTAGGACTATAGGTGAATGCCACTGCACCTGGCTAGGAAGAATTTTATATAGTCTTTTTTTCCCCACCTCTATATTTTGAGCCACATCCTTGATGAGGTTAACCCCCACTCACATTTATTTAGCCTCCTACTATAAATGTACCACATTACTTTTTTACTTATATCTTTTAAGTCATAAGGAAGTAAGAAATACAAGTAAAAGAATAGTTTAGTTAATATCCCATAGAGTACCCATTAATATACTATATACACTAATATAATTTCATATTTGAAAATTTAGGATTTCAATAAAGCCAGAATAACTTTATGAGTTTCATCGTTTTCCTTCCTCAGGGTTCATTAATGTTTGATTCATGTTTTCTTGATTAACACATGATCTCATGATGAGTTAATCTGTGCCACTATCCATGTATGAATGCTTTGCACTTCTGCCTGGGCCAGAATTTCATCCACATAGAATAATACTGACTTTATTTTCTGTGGATTGTTCACATTTTGACTGGAAAATGAGCCAGTTAACAGTATCTATGAACTCTTTCAGAATACTGTCATCCTATTCATAGCTCATCCTATTCCAGAAAAAAAAATGTCTAAATATTGCATATATTTTAGATGCTAATATATACCTGTGCATGTCTATGAATAGATATATGTGTATTTGTGTTTGTGTGTGTGTGTGTCTATGCGCGCATGTGCGCGAT